TTCTCCTTTTATGAAACTCCTCCTTATAAAGGCATTCACCAATACTTTTTTTTTCCTGAATCCAACTCCTGGGCCATTAATAACTGCACCACAAGCAGAAATCAAACCAAACAAAACCTCCCCATATGCTCAAAAGGCTTGGCTCACATCCTATTTGATTGTTGTTGGTATAAGAGGGTGAGAGGCTGGTTCTTTGGCTCCTATATTAAATGAATGATCCATTGGGAACCTCATGTTAAAACAACACACCTTATGTGCGGCCAGAATCTGAAAACAACATTTAACATGGCACACTACTTGAGTAAAATGGTTCGGCTACAATCGGCATATGTGGGACTGATTGGGATAGATTGTAGGGGTGACACTGAAATATATTTTTATCTTATTTTACTTATCAATATATTAAATTATTGTAATTTACTCCAATTTCATTTTAAATTGTTTTCAATAGGATTTTATTAATAATTTGTGTTTGGAACTCTGTATTTCTTAAAAACTTCCAGTGTTGGAGCATTCACCGCTTCTGGAGGCAGGTTGTTCCACTCGTTAATTGTTCTAACTGTCAGGAAGTTTCTCCTTAGTTCTAGGCTGCTTCTCTCCTTGATTAGTTTTCATCTGTTGCTTCTTGTCCTGCCTTCAGTTGCTTTGGAAAATAGCTTGATTCCCTCTTCTTTGGGGCAGCCCCTGAGATATTGGAACACTGCTATCATGTCCCCCCTCGTCCTTCTCTTCGTTAAACTGGACATACCCAATTCCAGCAACCGTTCTTCATATGTTTTAGCCTCCAGTCCCCTGATCATCTTTGTTGCTCTTCTCTGTACTCTTTCTAGAGTCTCAACATCTTTTTTACATCGTGGTGACCAAAACTGGATGCAGTATTCCAAGTGGGGCCTTACCATCATGATGATGCTGTTCCTTCATCTTCTACTCTCGCCTGTCTTGGTGTGCCCCAAATGTGTTTTAGGCTACCAGCTTCTGTAATTGGCAGAGTGAAAGATGGTTCATGATATCTCCTCTGCTACATCATTTTTCCATAGATGAAGGCCATAGCGATGAGTGTCACATGGCTCGTGCTTCTGCCATTCACCCGTGACTTAGCTGCATGACAGTTTAGGGTTTGGGACGTCAGTAGAACAAGTTCCACTTCTTTTCATGTGTTTGGGAGGGAGTTGTGGACTTGTGCCCCACCCAATGGCTCTTGCCCATCAGGTTTACTTTGCTCCTGTTTTGGATTGGAGTGAAGGTTTGCAGAAACGAGAGTCTGCTTTTGGGATGGTTCTGAGTGGTCTTCTCACTGACCCCAGTTTTCAGCTGACCACAAATCCAATTTGATGTTGCCTTGATTGTTATCTTGGTGACCTGTGAAGGTCTGGTGGTGTCATGGAGCTAAGAAGTTGGTCTAACTTTATGGTGTCTTCAACATCTCCATAACCCTAAGAGAGTCTATATATTCTCCTTCTCCCTATTCATTAACAAAGCCCATGAGGCTGTCATTCAGACTTAATAAAAATATGTGCCCAGTTAGATGTCCAATTGCTATTCTTGTTCATAAACTAAGTAGAGCTGGATCAAGTTAATAGTGAATGGAAGAATATCAGGAAATAGCAGGGCTGTTGTAGATTAGAATAGAATAGAGCTGGAAGGGACCTTGGAGGTCTTCTAGTCCAGCCACCTGCTCAAGCAGGAGAACCTATACCATCTCAGACAAACAGATGATTGAAACAGATGATTGTAAAAACATATTGGAAAAAGAGAATGATCAACTGCTTCCATATTGTTGCCCAGAGGTCTTCATGGATGCATCCATGAAATCACTAAAAGTTAAGCCTGATTTAAAAGAGGTTTTACCTTCACCTAACTATAGCTAACCAAGCTAAGGCTGTATGTGTTCTGTGAGAGCTCCATTTGTGGAAGAAAAACAAGCATTATTCAGTACCTCATTTTATTCCAGAGAAAGTTTGTGGGGAAAGTGTTATTGCTCAATAAGAGCATCCTTATATCTGGAAGGTCCCAGGTAGAATTTCTGGTCCAAACTGATCTGGGAAAGGCTACTGTCTTAGCAACTAGAAAAGTCATGGAAGTTTGTCTTTACCTGTGACAACCGCAGTGAGATTATTACTATTATGCTCAAAGGTGGGAAGGTTTGACACGCTAACCAGAATGGAGGAGTGGTTGGTAAAAGCGATGGAACTGGCAGAGATAGCTAAATTGACTTCCTTGATTAAAGATATTAACTACAAATACGGCTGACTGGAAACCCTTTATAGATTTTTTTGCATGAAACAGAAAAAAATGCACATGATCTGTGGTTTTGATTATTAGAAAAAATGAATAATAGGAAAAAAGTGAGTTTTTTTGTGATGATACTGTAAGAGATAAGTTTGCAATTATACTTGAATGCTGCAAAAGAAATTGGAAGCTTCTCTTCTCTTCTCTTCTCTTCTCTTCTCTTCTCTTCTCTTCCCTTCCCTTCCCTTCCCTTCCCTTCCCTTCCCTTCCCTTCCCTTCCCTTCTCTTCCTTCTCCTCTTTCTTAGTAATGTTCGCTTCTTTATATAAGGAAGGCTGCTGTCTCAAAATCTTCATTAAAGTGTCATGTGTAATGTGTTAGCCCTATTTCTCTTCTGGAACCGGAAAGACAATGAGGAAGTGAATGTATTTTAAAATCATTTGCAAGTAGATTCATTGCTCTATCTTATTTCAGTCAGTCTCCTCCATCAGAATAATGTATACAGGAGAAAAAAATATGGAAATAGCACGTGCAGGTCAAAGGAATGCATTACATCAACAAGGAAAAAAAAAGACAGAGAGAACAAAACAACCTGTTACAGTACCTCAGGCAATTTATTTATTTATTTAGAAAATTGATATGGCCGCACAACTCACTGGTGTTAATTTGGGGGCACCTTACAGCAATAAAACCCCAAACCCAACAAGCCCCCTCATCCAATGCAATATTTGGGCATGAGAAGGGTACAAAGTTTCAGATGGTGACAATGCCAATTTCCCCTAACATCTGACTTGAAATGATTCCTCAAATTTATGTTGCAAACTGATGTGAGCAGTCGAACTAAACAGGGTTTTGAATTATGAGCCAAAGTACACCTGATGCTATGCTAGATTGGTGCAGTGAAATCCAAGAAAATCTATAATGAGTGAGTAGCTGTTTGGAACTACTTTTGTAGCCGGGTGGAGAGAAAACCTTCCAGTTCTCCTACTGTGGTCAGGAATCAGTGACTTCAAATGTTACTCAACTCCAAGTAGCTTGAGCCAAGAGGACTAATGGTTGAAGTTCAGCAATATTTGGAGGTCCATACATTCCCATACTCTCCAGTAGAACATGATTTCTGAATCTTCTGATCACCCATAACCTCTCCTCTTGTATGTGCCCAGGGTGTTTATATTGCAGTAAGGCATAATTTGCTTTGACTTCATGTAATACGCTAAGCCTTAAGCC